GAATAACCTGTTTAAGCAAAAATAATGGCAGCCCATACCTATACAAGCAAATCAAACAGATGCTTAGTGGCAAACACTGCCACCGCAGATTAGATCGTAAGTTTAGACGGGTGCGTGCGTTACTCGTGTGAGTGATTTTTGGTTTACGGGCTAGTTTGGCGTAGGCTGCAGCAGCGTGCGAGTAGACAAAGGATCGACTAATGTCGGTGACGATTCTCAAACTTTGAAATATGCATCCAATTACAAAATAAAAATTTTTTTTATAAATAATGTAAAGCATACCATTATGTAAAAATAAATTAGACTATTTTCACTAAGTCCCTTTCCGTTTTGATCGTAATCACTGGTGCAGCCTCGTTCTTCCGCATATGAATTTTTGCATTCTTCACCCCCAGATATCGAAACCCCCGCTCCATCTTCAGGCTTTTTGCTTTGGTAAGCAAATTTTTATTTTGTATGGTCAAGTGATCATTAACAAATACTTTTTGGTTTCCTTTGAGCCCAAGATCAGACAATGCGAGAGGATTCGATTTATTGTAAGCCCTTGCAGCTGCTATGAAATCTTCTTTGACGTACCGATTCTGGAAACTAGCGATGATGGGCTTACATTGGTTTGGATCCCGTGTAGGTACTCTGGTTATAAAGTTCAATTTGGTTTTATCAATGGGGTAACATATCTTTGACCCAATTTTCGAGACAATATCAAATAGATTCTCGTTTTTTACCAGGCTGACTCCTTTGATCTCAATATTGTTCATTCTCGACCATTGTTCCTGTTCCTGAGATTCCCTTTCGAGAGACTCAACTTTGAGTTGTAAAGTCGTGACAAGTTCATGCGCCTTGTCAATCTGGGAGGTTTTGCTTTCGAGAGTGGCCAGCCGTGCATTGAACTTCTCTATTGTTACTGCAGTTACCTCGACCGATGTTTTGAGCTCTGTGAACTCTGCTCTTAGAGCTTTCAGGTCCTGCGCGAAGGTCTCAAGAGGCTCTAATTTCCTAGTAATGACCTGGATTTCGGCGAGAACTGAGGCCATGTCGCTGTGCACAGGTAGCGCGGATCTTGTTGCCGTTGTTGACTGTGACGGTGAGACAGCTGGTGTCAATGCCCCAGATACTCCAAATTGTTTCGCCTGCTTGCAAGGGTTACAGCGCCACAAATTCTTTTTGTCACCTAACTTACGGTATCCACCTTCAGTGATGTTACCACAATGGTAATGTAAGTACTGACAACAGGCTGTACAGTATACTCCTTCCCTCAATGCTTCCCCACAGGATCCACAATTTGATGTATCCATGATCGATTGAAAATAGTTGAGAATCGCTGGAAATTCGCTAAAGATCGACTAGCGCGTATTGAATGGAAACGACCGTATGCTTCGAAAGCTACGAGGTGACTTGATGTAATGCTGACATTACTGCTTGGCGGCAGTAATAGGTAAAGTGGCAGTACTACTCTGGACGAACTCTTTCACAAGGAGCTCTACTGCTATTAATTCTAGTCCTTGTACAATCCCAGAATTTGGTTCCGCACGACTGCACAGGCGGGCGACGTTATTTTCACTTTCACTATGATTTTTCACAATAAACGGATACGGTTGCGGGCGCGGCCATTGTATTTGTCGATCAGCGAAATTTCAACAGGGCGAGAGTTTTCTTCTTCGTCCGCCAGGTGTCACAAGTTAGGTGACGTTACTTAGCTCTCGCGCGCGGGAAAGGGATGGAACATGGACGCAATTATAAATCCAATCAAACCATTATTTCCATTATGAAATGAAATATATGGAAATACATGAAAACTAGGGAAGTATCGAAATTTGGCAAGGTAAATTCAAATACCATTTTCGTCGCAACTGGCGACTTAATTGACTTTTTGGAGAACGCTGTTTAGTAATGCTGGTTATTTAAATTTTGATTTAAGTTTCATCTTATAACTTTACCTAATGCAAGTAATATTCCTATGTACGCATGCCGCGTTTGTTTCGGCTGTCACATTTTTTGTGAATACAACTGTTTTGACTGTAATATACTAAATAAATATAAATATAATTATTACAAATAATTATATATGACTGAATAAATAAGATATGCGTACCTGAAGCATCGCTACCTCCGTTTTAATTTGTTTTGAATTATCTGCAGCGGTCCTGAGGTCAGCAAGGTGTGCTGCATAATTGGGAATGGTGTTAAAAAATTTTGAATATTTGTCGCTTTTCGAAAGTTTCTCTGCAAGTTTTGTATGCGAATCTATTAAATATTTCTGCAAAAACAGTAAAATATTAAATTATCGTTGCGCTTGCAAACTTTCCATATGATAGTTTGGATAATACCTAGTGATAATAAGTAGAGCTCGGATAAATATGCAATTTAATATTACCTATCACACATCTCTCGCTTTTTTGTGTACTTAGCTTTAGGTAATGCAAAAAATCCTTGTGGAATATTTATTTATGAAACACTCAAAAGTTTGTAAATATAATGTGAATAGAAGTATCAATTTCTTATTTTTCCACATCCACGCAAGTGTAACGAAAAACATTGTATTATACACGAGGAAACATTGTATTCTACATACCACATTCTACACTAAAAAACAGTACAAACAAACAAACAACGGTCTTATTACTTATTTACACATAATTATGTACTACCAACAATATCATCCACGACTTACTATAGTAATGATCATGTTGCCACTTAATTATAATATCTTGACAATAAGATATTAGTTAATACATAATAATAATAATAATATTGGAAGACGTGTACTAAACTCCAAACTCCAGTTAATAATTAAAGTACTCAGTCATTCTATAACAGCTGCTCTAAATTAATTTTTCTAATTCATAAAACGATTGTTATACGATTGAGCGATCCGGCGCAGCAGGGGTACCAACAACGAGGATTGCGCGCACGCGTCGAGCGCGGTACTGCTAGTCTAGGTTAGAATATTGTAAGAAATAATCAAAAGATATCCACTTAACTCAAAATGAGACACACTTTATCTGAGCTAGTTCTGGCCAAAATAATAAAAAAATATTAAATTAATTTTTCTATTTCATTTTTTAATATATTTGAGATATAGTTTAAGTGACTATAATAAACTACATACATAAATTTTAATGATTTGTTTCGGAACGTGAGTAATTCGTTTTTCATCGATTCTGAGAAAGTCCACTTTAAGAGTTAATACACTATTGTATTAACAGTGCGATGTATGTATTACAATAAGTATTATCAAAAAATCATAACTAACGTGAATCACTAACAAATTGTCGTATAGGTATGTGTGTATGTGTGCATGTGTGATGGTGCGTGAATGTCTGCCTTAAAGAAAGAATTAGTTAATTACTAATCAGCTTACAATATCGAGTATATAACCAGATTTAGAGACGAAATAAGGGCCATCCAACCCTGGCAACGCATTAGGCAAATGGGCCCTACATAACTTTTAAATATTAACTCTCGTTGGCACTGAAATCACAAATTAGAAATGTATGTGACGACACTCGTCAATTGTTTCGAATTCGGGTTGGCCAATCGGAGCGCAGTTGTCACCGTAATGATGTGGCAGAGTAGTTTTCAAACAAATAATATGACATTTCGTCTCTATTTCTGGTCATATATTCGATGGCTAACAACAAGAATAAAAACAAGCAGTTTTGAAACGAATTCAATCAAAATACCTGTTTGAACAGAACTCTATCCACTTTGTCATAGAGACCGTCGCACAACATGTGTCGGCTTGATTTAAACACGGTGTCATCAATTTCAAGAATTATAACACCACAGAATGCAACTATGGCAATCGGGACCGCCAGTCCAACTATAACTTTCTTATAACAAAAAATTAGTAATTAATATTCAAAGATAGGGTCATATCAGAAGCTTCCAAACTTTTTCAAGCTGAAGACATTTGGGAGACCAAGCAAAACGTCACAGCTGTGCTCGAATTTAGCTAAAACGTTAAGAATAGATGTCTGCGCCGATAATATATTCGTTGGCGGCGGGACGTTTGACGGGTTTCGGCAGGAGGCTGCCACGTGATCGGCACTGGCGTGAAATTGACGTGGCGTGTATGACACAGGGCGTACTATAAGTTTCCGGAACTGGCTACTTACATAAACAATATTTAAAAAGTAATTACAACATTTGAAAATGGAACTCTTTGGCTGTAGAATACAGTTTGTTTCATCTGACTGTCACTTGTTTTTACATTGTGGAGTCATTTTAGAAATTGGTCGTCTACATCACCATGGATTTAACTTTTAAGTTTCGTAGTATGATTTTCTACGACTTTAAGTGTAATTTAACAGCTCAGTGGAGCTTCGCTCGGCTTCAAACTGCTTTTGGCGATGAAGCACCATGCAAGACGACGATTTATAGCTGGTTTGCAGAATTCAAACGTTGTCGTGTGAATTTCAGTGACGAATTTCGTGATGGTCGCCCGTCCACTGCTGTGAACAACAAAAACATCGATGCTGTGCGCCGTATGATCAAAATAGACAGGCATGTGACATACCATGAGATTCGGGCATCTTTAGGCATAGGCATGAGTCAAATACAATCAATACAGTTTGGGTGTGAAAAAGCTGTGCTCTCGGTGGATCCCACACAATTTGACTGAGGTTTAATAAACAGATCGCGTCACTTGGTGCAATGCCGTGCTTACCAGATTTAACGAAGGGGCATCAAATTTGGTGTGGGACATAGTAACAGGTTACGAAACATGGATTTATGGTTACGATGCCAAAACAAAGCAGCAATAGAGCGTATGGGTCTTTCGAGATGAGCCGAAACCAACCAAAGTGTCTCTAAGCGGAGGTTTGCTTCTTTTTTAATAAAACTGGACACGTGGCTACTGTTGCATTGAAGAATCGTTGTACCATGAATAGTGATTGGTACACGACCATTTGCTTGCCGGAAGTTATTGACAAACTCCGTAAAAATAATCGAAAACGCCGTATCATCTTGCACCACGATAATGCCAGTTCTCACACGGCCATACACACAAATGAATTTTTGAAGGTGAACAACGTTGACCTTATGAGCCATCCCGCGTATAATCCCGACCTGACATCTCGTGACTTTTATTTATTTTCAAAAATTTAGAACCAGTTACGCGGTCATCGATTTTCATCACCTGAAGGGGCTGTCGAAGAGTATGAAAAATATGTTTCAGAGATTGTCACAGAGGAGTGGCATAAATGTTTTCAAAATTGGTATATTCGTATGAAAAAGTGCATTAACGCTAACGGAGAATATTTTGAGAAACAATAAATTCATTTATGACCATTTATAGTATTTTTTTCTTATTCATTCCGAAAACTTATAATGCGCCACACGTATTCAGGCATTTAAAAGCAATGTTATGTAAAACTTAAAATCAACTATAATCAACGTTTTTTACACTTCAAGTTGTACTTCAGCGGGTATGCAGATACCATTACTAAAACTATTGAGCTTAATTTTTATGAAATGTTGAATGTGTGGTAAAATAAAAAGAATCACAAGAATAAACGCTCGTAATTTAAATGCAATGAAATCGAAAATACGTCGACAGGAAGTAATTCATTGTAATTAATTCTTATTCAAAATAATTTAAAATAACATTCATTAAAATAACATGGCTTTTCTCCACGCCGATTTTACGCCGGCCCAATTTATCGGCGGCAGCAGCAGCGGCGCAACAGTGCAACGCACATAAGCTGGTCAAGAATAATGAAAAGGGTCCTTCAGGTTCGCGAACCCCAAGTTAGTCAACGCGGAAGCAATGATAGAAAAAAAGTTGCTTTATTTACCGGAGTGATATTTCGAGCTCTGTGCCTCTACCACGAGTTTACTGTGACAGGTTGTCGCTAGCTACCGCATATATTACTTCACAATTTTGTGTGGCGAATTATACAGCGCCCCTAGCGGTCACAAGAAGAAACAACATTTTGTATACAAACATTTTATGCAGTCGCTGGTGATAGTACTGTAATCTCATCATAGAGGCACTGGACGTCTCTTTGTACAGTTTGGGTTTATTAATGCTTTCACGATGAGGGAAATTATAGTGAAAGAAATTGTGTATGTGCTAGGATTAAAAAAAAACCGTTACAAGAGGACCTGTACTTCTATTAAATAAGATGTGAGCGCATAAACTACATATGACATGTCTGTCCTACAGCATAGTGCCGCATTACCCGTCATAGGGCAGACGGCTCATAAATAATGGTCCTTGTTAAGATTTAGGTGTGATTGGCAAAATCTACGCAGAGAAAGTGCTAAAGTAATTAACCACTCGTTCAAATATGTATTATTTTATTTATTTATTTATTTACCTGGTACAACGTAATTTTTGCTTCTGACGTGGTACGGCATCGTATTGTACTTATGACGATAAGTATTATTGCAATCAATATTAGCATTAACATTACTAACGCCAAGGAGAACAAATAAATTGGCTGAAATAAGGAATTGTCGGTTTAAGCATTACTTTCTTTTTGGTTTTCAATTTCCAATGTCTCATCGTTCTTGAAAAATCGATAAAAAATTTAGAAAGGCGGAAGGATTATAAATAGATAGACGTACGAATCAACGGATAAGTATTACAATTGACCTGTCGTTACACTAATAATTAATCTTTAATATACATCAAGATCGAACACATAGAAAATATCTTTAGATCTACACAACTCACTTCAACGCATACGTGAGTCCGGGACCTATAACTGTAGGTGGGGTTACTCTTGACGTTGTGCGTAATTACGTCTACCATGGCCAAATATGTGACTTAGCAGGTACAACTTCGAGAGGGAAAGCGACAGCAGAATTCGTCTGGGTTGGGCGGCATTTGAGAACTTTAGCCACATCTTTAAGTCGTCAATCACACAGAGTCTAAGAACTAAGACATTTACCTAGCGCATTTAGGTCCCACGTAGCCAAGACGTGGACATTAACAACAGGCTTTATCCACAACTTTGAAGTCGATCAGCGTGTGATGGAGCGAGCTATGCTTGGGGTTTCTCTGATAGACCGAATCCCTAATGACGACATACGTCAGAGAACTAAAGTGACCAAGATAGATCGCAAAATTAGTAAGCTTAAGTGGCAGTGGGCCGGACATGTCTGCAGGAGAGTTGATAGCCAGTGGAGCAGACTTTTTCTGTAGTGGCGACCACGTCATGGAAAACGTAGTGTAGGCCCTGCGGCAAGATGGATGGGAGACCTGAGAAGATGGCTGGCAGCGGCTGGATGTGGGCGGCATAAGACCGGGAGAGTTGGCGTGCTCAAGGGCAGGCTTATGTCCGGCAGTGGATGCGTGTAAGCTGATGATGATGTAATATTACTTTTAAAAACGAACCTGCAAATATTCACTGCTACTTAGATCAAACGTTTTGTTAGCTTTTGTGAATTTAATAGTCAGTCGCGGTATTATTTGAAGAATGTTGGCAATTGTCTTTGGTTTGTAGTCATTAACCGTAATATTCTGGAAAAAATTAACCATGATTAGGCCTTTCTATATATTCGTCACGCGGAACGGAATAAAAATGAATTATTGGAACCATAATATATTTATTGTTAGAGACTGTTATGATCTAGTATCAAATTTGTTAAGAAGCGTCCGTTTATCGACCTTTGTAACTTTGCAACTTATCGGGAACCTTTTTAATAAATAAACTGAAATGAATTGTCTTAACATACAAATTACACTAAAATATGTTAAGTAATTACCAAGCTGCCACTGGATGTAGTAGAAGAAGGAGAAGTAGTAGTGACAGCAGTGGTGGTAGTAATAGTAGCATTTGTCTCATCAGAATCCTGTAAATAAAAAGAAAATATAAAAAAGCCAATCATTTCAATGTTGCGGGGAAAACAAAATTATGCACCTGGATCGCGCCCGCACCTTACTAATCGAGTGGTTAGGCATACTGTCATACTGTTATGACTAACTATACACTCTGATTAGTATGGTGTGAGAGGCGGGGTTCCTTAATAAATAGATTCTGGCGTTACTTTGCGGAAGTTCATGTTAATAAAAATAGAAGTAAATCATTGCTACCTCCTCCGCGAACCCGGTGGAGCCCACTGACGGGATGGTTCGGTAGGGGATCCTTCGGCATCCCTGCATACAAGTGCACACCGGTGGCAATTATGCTGCGGTATCCCTAGGTACGACGCGGCATCCTTAAGCATGTCTTAAATATTCCGTCGCGACATCGTGCTCGCGACTGGTCTCTCTTCAGATCAGTCTTGCCGTTTGTGTCTTCCCTCGCCCCGCAAACCAGCACTCTGTAGGCTGTCGAAGCATCCCCAAGACTGCGAAACGACCTCAAGGCTGCCGAGGCATTCCGAAGGCTGTCCTGGCTTCGCATCCTTATGCATACCGCAGCTTTATTTTGCAGCTACGATCATTATCATTGAAATTGCAACTTTAATGTCATAATCTTGAGGTATTTTACTATTCGTCACCTAAAAATCCCTTATCGTCTGTAGGCGTCATGGTCGGGTCTACCCAAATCACGCAAAATAGCTACGCTTGATTTTCTGCATAGGCACTGTTAGTTAATTTTCCCACCCTCTCTCAGCATAAAATAAATAACACAAGCGCAACTTACAGTCACAGACACCACCACCAAAAGTGTACGCGACACGTGTTTCGCCTTTCTACGAGGCATCTCGCGGGCTGTGGATTGTTCGATGCGCGGCCGAAGAAAAAAAAAATCCAATAGATTTAGTAGCAAATTAATTTACTTTCGTTTTTAGTAGCCATAACAACCACCTTAATGTCCTTGCAGGCAGCTTACGCTGTAGCTTGCAATATTTAGTTCCTGTGGTGCATAGCTTCGACTTAGATAGGGACTTAGAGCGACGCCACGTGGGAGCTGTCGCGGAAGTCTTTTTTTGTTAAAACAATTTTGGCATAGACATGCGCTACGGTAGGCCATCATCGCCCCTCTGCGATACTGGTGTTCACACAGTGGTGCATGGCTTAGTGTTGCCTGGCGACGCACTCAAGATGGACGTCGAAGTAATCACGGCCGAGGCAATTAAATTGTTTCCTGCGTCAGAAGACGACAACGAACTTAGAATGGGCGACTGTTAAAACACCACTGGCCACGCTACGCTCCGATTCCTTTGAACTGCAGCCAAAAAACCGACAACATCGCCATTGCGCACCACGGTTCTAAGGACGATTATCTGGGTGCTCAATTGCTCCCTGTACACAATGGCAATGGATGGTAGTAGACCTGTATCGGCAAATTTGTACGTCACAAGCGCGGTTTAGTGATGGGACACCTCCTCGGCGCCGAGGCGATTGATTGAATCGAAGACGCAGATGCAGTACGTATTTTTCAAGTAGTTATTGAATATAAGGAGCCACAAAATATTTAATATAGTACCAAAATAAAATAATTCATTCTCTCTATGTCCCTTATTAAAATGTATTTTGAAAAAACAACGCCGACTCAACGCATCATGTGGCATCGCTCTTAGACTAACGGATGGATATATGAGATCATCCATGTTAAACAACAGGTATCCAACTTTACGTCTTAAAACGCATCATTTGCTCTCGAAATAAAGACTAAATACACAATACTAACCATTGACTTACAAATAAATGGACGACGGCTCTAATACAAAAACCACGAAAAAAATGTCCCAAGTCAACCTATTTAAACGTAGTGACATGTAAAGGAATATGAAAAAGCTTTTAAATTGTAATGTCATCGCAGAACTGTCTAATTTTGCTTGCTTTGCTGTCAGTCGAACAAACGAAGACTAAAGCGTGAATGACGCTCTGTATACGATTTTAACGCCCTATAAGTTCGGACACTTTTTAGCGCGGACCCGAAGTCCATATAATTGTAAGTCAATGATACACATATAAAATGGCATTGTGTATATACACTGTCACATTCGGCAGAACTCTAGTAATATCTCCAAAATAACGCAATATTTTGTTTTAAAAGTTTGCTCAGTTAGTTTACTTTTTATTTTAGGTTTTATTTGAAATAAGTCAACTGCCAATTTTATTGTTAATTTAATTTCCTACTACTTAATACAGCTTTGCCGAATGTTACGAGGTTGAATTTGCGTTTTAGTGAGTTGAAGTTGCATCCATGTATTTTACTTCATATGCTTATAAATTAAATTATACTTATTTGAAGCAATATGAGAAGTAAACATTGTAAATGATAAAGATATACAAATATTTATTTAGAAACACCGAAATCCTGAAGGGGTTGATTTCCTTTTTCACTTTCAATTTCACCTCAATCTTATCTGATAAAAAGTGACGATGAGGTCGACATGGAGCATACATACCTAAACAATGCCTATTCACTCTCGCTTTGAAAAGGCCCGAGTTATAGCGTTCAAGGAATAAGTCTACAGGCTAGGAATTTCACTCCACTGCCGTTCGCCATGTAAATGTGGATGCGTAAAGCTTCGTGTGAGTCCTTGGAATATAGGTGTGTAACCCCAACCTGAGTCTAGTCAGTGTTCCGGTGATGGAAAGGGGAAGGCGGAATTAAATCGTGCAATTCCATATATTAATAGATATATATATCTTGTCATCTAAACTAACTAGTTTAGCGTGCTGCGCCCCGTTGCGAATTTGCGGCAGGACTTTTGAAGCAATAGACTGTATTATTATTACTAATAAAAACTAGTTACCACCCTCGTAGATACTCAGTAGCAACAGGTTGGATTGTATCAAAAGGCTTAAGCAATGGTGATTCGTTATTGTTATATTATTCTATGCCTTTTACGGGTTCCAGTACGGGTACCAGGTAATTGTCACACGTGATTTGAGATGAAGAATGGGTTGTGTTAATTGAATACAAACCATTATGCCCTTTCCGCTGCTTATTTTTAATATTATTTCACTATTATTCCTTTAAAACATTATTCACAAGAATTTTGTATTTTATGTAAATAGTTGCTCGAATAAAAAATTCAAGTCAAAAATTCAATTAAATTCACTTTAACAATTTAATAACAAATAAAATATATTATTATAACGGCATTAATTTTGAAGTTTAAAAACATGACGTCATATGTCATGTGATGTCAAATCTTTAAGATTTTTCAATTTTTTTTCCATCCTCTAAGGATTTTTCTTTATGGCATGACACCTTTAGACTATGGAAACCGTAGAGGGAGAATTGGGTAGAGGAGCTCTATAAATAATAAAAACCGTATAAGCGAGATAGATTTATGCACAGACATATCAGAGTAAACGAGAAAACATTATTTTTTGTCCCTTTCTACGTATGCGGTTTTGGTTGTATGACTCAACGCTCGTTGAGTCCAGCAAATCCTTCCGAGTGTTTGATGTGCATCGATTTTATTTATGTGTTTGTGCTTTTAAGAAGTGTTTTACAAAGTTAATAACCGTTCCTTTGTAGTAATTGACAATTAATGCAGCTCACAATAATGGTGCGTTGTTATATTTTAGGCTGTAAAAGCCGTACGGAACGAAAAATTCCCAACATAGCCTTTCACACGTAAGTTTTAATTTTTCATTACAATCAATGAATTTTCTTGTATGAATTACTAGTGAAATACTCTTACAAGCCTGGAATATTACGATTTCATGTATTTTAGATGATATTTGAAGTGTTTTTCTTGATTGAAAGATTTTTGTTTGCATCGTATAAACCTCCTAAAATAAGGAGAATATCTTACTTTTGTTAAATATGTCCATCTCGCTTCAACCAGCAGTGGTTATGATACGCGAAAAAAAGAGATGAAATAAATAACATATAAATTAAATTAGACAGGCTTAAGCTGATTTTGGGGATACCGTGCTTTTGTCACTATCTTTTCCCCAATTTATGGGTCATTTTAAATATTGTATTTTTTTTAGTTTTCAATACTTTTCCAGTTCGAAATATGTATACTAAGTTAATACTGTTCAAGGGCCAATAAAAAAGTCATGATTTGTCATAATTGTTTTATTTGGTTACTGAAACTCAACCAAGCTAAATGTGGTCTGGCGGATTCTCTCTCCTTAGACTCAGCAGATTTCATCATAATCAGGAACCCATTTAACCGTCCCACTGCTGGGCACGGGTCTCCTCTCAGGCGAGTGCTTAGGCGACAGTCCACCACACTGGCCCAATGAGGGTTGGGGACTGCACACGTTTTCCGAGGACTTTGAACCTTCTTCAACGTTTCACCACCATATTTTCCTTCACCGAAAAGTTCATAATAAATTTCAAATTAAATTTCGCACAAAGTTCGAAAAACTCAGAGGTGCGAGTCTGGATTCGAACCCACAACCTTCTGTTTCTCTATTGTTTTTTTTATTCTCCCTCTACGATGGAAACCATAACCTCTATGATGGTAACCAAAAGCATGACACTTAGGCTCAACTCACACTAGCGCAGAGTCGAAGTGTCGCATCGCGTTCTGTTTTTCAACTACAACGCTTGGCGGCACGAGACGACACTCGCGCCGGTTTCCATATTTGCATAACACAAATTTGTACCTTAATAATGGGAAAATAAAGATGAATATACCATAGGCGAAAACATGACGCGTCGCGACGCTTCGACTCTGCGCCTGGTGAGTTGAGCCTTAGGGTAAATTCAAATTAGACGCATAAAGAAGAGCTGCATTGGCACCAATGTGGCGCCGCTGTAGCTACGCTACTATACTTCGTTTAAACAAAAAGTAAACAGACAAGTCACTGACCCGACCATAGACGGTTTAGTGATGGCCTATTTTACTGCCAACTACAAATCGATTTGTTCAATTGAGCTTTACTAGCGGTTTCTTTACACAACCTATAAAAGCATATTTAAAATTTCCGAAATCTTAATTTTAAATCCTTCTATAAATCCTTTCACTTAATTAGCTTTAATTATTAACTTTAATAATAAATTAATTAACGAGTATCTCGTTCGATTGCGATTGAAATTTTCGATTTACTAATCGATTACAAAAATTTTAGTGAATGAACCGAATGTTTTTTTTTTTCATACAGCACTATTCAACCATAGACAAGTCATACCTTTTTTGTAGTTGTAAAATGACTTCATTTTTGGACTACAATTTTTGAAACACGATTTTACGATGCTATTCAAATGAATATTGTTGGAAAAAGTAATAGGTATATACACACATCAAAAAAAGTTTGCGATCACTTCGAAAAACTGAAATCTTTTTTGTTACTGTAGATTATACTATGATTTTTTCTTCTTTTTAGATTCTTTATTTAAAAATAAATTAGAACATAAAACAATGACCCCGTTCAATTGTTTTTTCATATAAAAAGGCTTTCAGTCCTAGCTTACGCTCATTCAGAAATCTGATTTAGTCAATTATAAGCGATTCAAGATATTTTTCGCGGAAAGTTGTGATTGAAAAAATGCCAAGAGGATTATCAGAGGTTTTACGAGCTAGAATAGTAACTTTGAGGGAAGAAGGATACACCACGAGAGTAATAGCACGCAGACTTGCTATATCCCAATCCTGTGTCGTGGCTACGTTGCAGAGGTATCACGGAATGGGGAATTTAGCTGACCGACCCCGCAGCGGTCGCCCAACTGTTTTGACAGCTGCCCAAAAGCGCTATATTAGATTGCTGGCAGCCCGTGATCCAACAATCAACGCCACTAAAATAAAAGCAGAAGTCAGGGCCGCCTCTGGGCTTGAAGTTAGCACGCAGACCGTTCGCAATTGCTTGCACCAGGCTGGATTACGAGCACGGAGGTCTTGGCGAGCTCCGCTCAATTCCCGGCAACGTCAACAACGAAGATTGCAGTGGGCTAGACTTCGGCAAAATGAAGAAGGTGAGGATGAAAACATTTGGCAAAACTGTCTCTTCGTTGACGAATCCCGAATCAGCACTCATCCAGATAACCGACGTGTCCGTGTCTGGAGAAGACCAGGCGACCGTGAAAGACAAAGAACTGCCACTGGAACAGTTCAGCAAGGCGAAAAATCGGTGTCCTTTTGGGGTGGCATTATGATTGGAGCTAGAACGCCTTTGATCCCGTATCGGGGCTTCATGACAGCAGACATGTACAAAGCAGTTGCTATTGATGATATCGTCAGACCATTCCGAGTAAACCATGGGCACCAATTTGTACTGGTCGATGATAATGCGCCCGCACATCGAGCTCAACGAGTCAATGCTGCTCTTCAAGAATACGATATCACACGATTAGACTGGCCTGCCGGCTCGCCCGACTTAAACCCAATAGAGCACGCGTGGGATGCTCTTAAACGAGCAGTATGGAACCGTGAGCCACGTCCCCAGACAGTTCCAGAGCTCAGGGAAGCCGCTATTGAAGAATGGGATAGGTTACCCCAGGAAATGCTAGATAACTTGATCCTCAGCATGCCCAGGAGGATCTTCGCATGTATTCGAGCCAGGGGAGGAGTTATTTTATATTGAATTCACACCTTTTAATAATAAATTGTTGTTTAAGTTTAATTAAACAGTCTTTTTCTTTCTATGAAATTTCTATCACTATTACATTATCATTAATGGCTCAATTTTTTAAAATAAATAATAAAAAATAGTTTTATATTTTAATTTCAAACAGGGTATTCCTATTTAAAGAAAGCATACAACATAGATTTTTTCTTGATAAAGTTAAATTAAAAGAATTATATATGCTATTGATCGCAAACTTTTTTTGATGTGTGTACGTGAAAGTGTTAACTTATTCGATTTATTGAGTGATTGCTTTAGAATTTTAAGAAAACACTTTTGTTTACTTTTTGTTTAAAATGGATTGGAACAGATTATAATAGTTTTCATACAATATTTAGAAGCGCAGTTATAGGCCATTGTAAAGTAAAAGTGACTACTTACTAATGGTTAGTCTCTACTACCTGTGATACCTATTAACATTTTAATTTTATTATGTTTTTGCGCAGCTAGGTTTTTGTTTCTTAATTTTATGTTCGTATAAAGTTATTGTTCCGATCATTGACCTACCAATAAATTGACGTCGGGTTCGCACTAAAAAGTGTCCGCACCTGTAGGGCGTTAAAATTGCATACAGAGCGTCAATCGCTCAATAGTCTTCGTTTGTTCGAGTGACAGCGCGATTGTCAATCATGCAGTACCAATATATGCAGTACAAATAATAACATGTAAAAATTACTGCAGTAAAGTGTGAAAACAGGATTATGTATCATATTTTCACTGAACAAATATATTATGTTATCAGAGTTGTCATTGAAAAGTGTCATTTTGTACAGTTTTATAGTATTTAATTTATATATAACTGAATCGTAAATATAAATTACAAAAGCACACGAAATAACGAAATAGCTAACTGTCCTTTTTCTACTCATTGCATGCGCAAAAGATGGAAAGAGACCCATTACGTCAGTTTCAAGAAGCTCATAAACTTCTTGATCATTTTCAATTGTTCGAACCACAAGCGATTGAATTATTTAGAACAATGAAACTGTAAAGTTGCTTTGATTTTAATCCTATTTTTAAAATGATTTTTTTATTAAACATTAGCAATAACTAACAAAATATTATTGTACTCGTTTTACGCCTTGGGATTGCCTATCAGAAGTCAGAAAATAACATTAGCTCGAATTTGTATGTATTTGTGTGTGTTTGAATGTATTTTTACGAAGATTACAAAACAAAAACTAATTTTGTCTATGTAAATAGCATCAAAATTACTCGAAAGCGTAAAGGTTTTGTTATAAATCTGAATTACGGATATTTGGGTTTACGTTTAGTTTAGTTGGGTTTAGTACATTTCTTATAGTACACGCTTATTTTCACATTTGTAGTAATAAGTGTATGTATGTATCTGCCCAACTCTTTATTATACCTTTAAGTGAATTTGTACAAATTCGACATAATAATATATATATAAAAATTAATTAATATTTACGAGAAAGGCTATTCCATTACTCTTATGTTCAAGTAATTTTAAGTCGAAGCTAAATATGGTGCATTTTGTTAAGTTTCCAGTAGAAGCTGAATATGGTGGTTTAGGCCCTTAAATTGTTGTAAGCAAATTTAGGCAGTACTGCAATGACGTTACAATTTAAATTAAATGTTTTAGCTTTTTATATTTCGTTACATGTCACTACGTTTGTATAGGTTAACCTCGGACATTTTTTTCGTGGTTTTTGTATTAGACCCGATGTCCGTTTGTTGGTAGGTCAATGGCTCCGATCAACGTTTTAATTTCATGCGTACCTCTTCACGTTGACACTTATTTATTATTACTTTCTTATTTGTGTATAATAGTTTTAACGAACGGTGTACATCAAAAACCTGAAACAAATACTATAATTAATACATATTATACTGAAACCAATGACCCTGAATAGTTACTTTTATTGAAGTAAAAAATATACTCTAGGATATATCAATTCTATTCCCAATTGATGGATACGGGTCTTCGCGAGTTTCAAGTTCACCACACCTGCTTAATGCCGTCAATTCCCTTCACCCATTAGCCCTTTGATTATAGCGATATGATAACGGGTAATATGGCGGTATCATACATCTTTGAAAAGTTTGCAAAGCCCCTCGAAAAAAACCGAAAAATCAAAAATCAATGAAACACTTTATTGTGTACGCACGTATAAAAATCAAACGTCATTGTTTCGGTTGTACCTATTGCCAATTTTATGGCATACGTAAAACGTAGGACTGTTTATAAACAGTTAAATTAATTTAATTGAGTAATTTGTAACTAAGCACCTATATCGAATAAAAAATTGAATATAAATTATACAGACGCCGAAAATTTTATTGAACTGAAGATGTAGTTTCTGGAAGTACACGAGTTCACATACCCAATTTTTCACTACAAAAATAGCTACACACACGCACGATTCTATACACGCGCTGTTGGATGTCTTTTTATATATATGTGTATATATATATATAATATGTATATATATTATATATGTTCGAATAAAATATTGTTATGAACATCTCTGTCAAAATTGGTGTAAATTTAATAGCACTAACTTCGATTTTGGGGAGCTTGGAAGCCTAAGACACACTTAGTTTCCAGTCTCCTACAGACTTCGTTCTCTATTGAATAAAACCTGATTCTGTAACAAATATTTTGTAACCAAAATTTGTGGAGAAAATAAATTATTATTATTATTACTTACAAAATGTCGCAGATGTCGCGACACCTTTAGTAATGCATGAATAAAAAGAAATGCGTAAACTCTGTTATATAATTTACGTACCTTATCTGGCATAGCGTCATCAACACCAGTGTCAAGAGGATTCCTCCTCCAATAGTGCCTATCACTTGCATCGTCAAGCCCTGGAAACGAATTCTCGTATGGAATTATGGTGAAAATGTAAATATAGTAGAGCTACACCCACTGAACTTGGGTTGCGCAATATCGACGCTTTTTCTTTCCTGAGATGAGACATCACAAGTAAATAATAACATGTAAATTTACGTCAATTTAAATATATGTAAATATAATTTTGGAAATTTAAAACCATACTTTTTTAATTTTTCTCTCCTTTTTCTGATACTAAAAGGAAAAAGGGGACATTCTGAGAAATGGACTTTTTGCGTGCGGTAGACACTTTGCGCAGTGGAGATTCTGCGACTGAGCGCATTGTAGATCTCATTAATTAATTCGTCTACCATGCACTCATTGCACAACTTACTTTTTTTCATTGTATTGTGCTCGAACCATCCATATAGGTACTAAATCTATGACTCGAACAAACTTAAGCTTGCGAAACGTCAAGGCTTGGCACAGTGAGTCCAGAAAATAAATGAGGTTTTAAAAATTTGATATTTTGTCTATTTTTGGGTAAAAGCTTTCAAATGAATCTAGACATCTTTAAAGGTCGAGAAGACCTTATTTGCACAACTCAGAACCAAAGCAAATAAATTTTTCATTAGAAAAAAACAGGCTTTAACATTTTTTTTTTAGAATTAGAAAATGCCGCCGAAAATTGCCCGACTTCTACCGGCTAAAACCCTACGGCTCTAAAAAAACTTTATAACCTTGAGATATTACGAACGAAGATTACAAATGTTACCAAACATTAATTTAGTTTCACAGTAAATTTTTTATAAAATCTTGAAATCATTAATACATACCTGTAGATCGAACACTCAGAAAAAATTAGTTGGTATAGCGTCTGGCACGGTATGCAAGAAGACGTCGGTTCGAATCCGACCGGATCGAAGGAATTTTTCTGAGTGTTCGATCTTTGTATTAATGATTACAACAAACTAGTGGAGTAATTTCACAAAAAATAATTGAATATCAATTCAATAAAAAAAATTAAAATCTTGAAAACCGATTTAACGCGGGCTATCGCTCTTCCAAACGAGCTATGATCTCTCAAGTCTCGATATTCCCGAATGGAAATGCTAGTCTCGAGTCTCGGAAATGCCAAAAAATCTTCGAATGTCTCGACATTTTCGAGATTGGGTTCCACACCTATGTTGTGGATATTATACAATATACAAATACAAAGATTCAGACGAAGCGTTACGCTTCCACATTTATATGGATGGGAGCGGAATTCCCTGTCTGCGAAATAAGTCTTTATTTCCTGAACGTTATAATTTGGGCCTTTTTAAGGCGAGAGTGAATAGACATTATTTACGTGTGCAGCGCTCCATCGTCAACCTCATCGTCACTGTCCAACAGGTGAAATGCGCACTTATACTCGTATATTTTGTAAAAAAAAATCTCGGAATGAAAACCCTAGTTGCGAACCTGGCCCCCGACTCAGAACCCTTCGGTATCTTAACCGAATCGTTCGAATTGGACATCGTTCTCGAATCGAAGGGCTCTTTCCGAGCTATTCAGAACATTCGAGTTAAAACGTTCGATTCGGATACGATATCGTTATTCAACAACGTTTATGGAGTTACTCGGCGAGTATAGATTATAAGAAATATGAAATCCTTTTATATACATTTTTAAGACTTTAAAGGCCTAAAATATGGGAATTCATTAGTCTCGCATTAAAATAAATTAATGAAATTGAACGAAATCCAGATTTTATTTAAAATAATAAAAGATTTTCATATTACATTTTTGCTTTGTGAACTTACTTTCGTTCTATAACTGTTCTGAATAACGTTTGTAGCCTTTGCCGGTCGAGAAGTACGAGTAATCGTAGGGGTGTGACGTCATTTCGGTTCGGTTTCGAATACGAGAGTTTGACGTTCGATTCGGTTATTGTGAATAAAAATTAATAGAAATCGTACGATATCTATTCGAATCGGTCGATAACAGAGTTATCGTAAGGTTCTGAATCGATCTGCTGCTTTGACACGCAGGTGGTGCATGGTGCATAATGTTTTCCTTAGCCATTAGCGCGAGGTTTATCTGTGTTAGTTACATCTTTGTTTATAGCTCATGAAGTTTTATTCTGACTTGACTTACATAGTGATATATATAAAAATTGGATTTAAAAATAACTTACGAATAATCCGTCATCGCATAAGAATTTTGTAATTATTCTAAACATTTGTCTAGTTTCGGTGCACATTCTCAATTTTGCGAACTGGTCTTTCATATTTGTTAAGTCTTCCCACATCGCTTCAATGTTTGGACGGTAGTCTACACGATATATATTGTGACGATGCCCTCTTGAATAGTAAATAAGAGCTGAAAAATAAAATTTTATTAAGGGCGCACTCAGGGTGACTGAAGCTGTTATTTTAGGGAAATGGCTGAGATTACATAAACGATTACATAATAGTTTGATTTCGACTTAGCAAGAATCGGCCATTAAAGGAAAAAAGAAAAAAAACACAAGCTAAGCAAGTTTTTCGTACTTACAAAACGAAGTTAGTTTAGGCAAGGAAAGAAATTTTCGTTTTATAAATTTTAGCGGTTTGCCACATACGTTACCAATTCATTAGATTCTATTTAATGTTTTAGAGCACCTAAACATTACTTTTTATTTTTACAACATTGTCTTGCATTCATGTATTTCTTCCATTCAAACATCAGCGAATATACGGAGACGTACACACAGGTCAGTTGTTGGCGCTGTACTATTTCAGCGAGAGTTGATATTTATAAGTAATATAATGCCCATTTGCCTGAGGAGTTGCTAGGGGTGGACGACCCTTGTTTCGTCTCTATTTCTGGTTATATACTCGATGAGCATATAGGACTGGAGGCGTCATCGCTAGACAGTCCCCTCTGTCGAGGTAATAAACACTACTTTCGAATCGAAGTTTTTCATTTGCATTATCGAATCCACCGCGTCAAGTGCTCCAGGAAATATGTCGCCTTGCGCCATACAAACTTGCAAAAACATCTCTGCTACATCCAGTCTGGCCAAGGATGGAATTACATTTCATTTACACGTCTGTTTTTTACAATAATTACTAGTTTTCTATTTTAACACATTTTTTTCACAATCATCATGTCAGCCGGAAGACGTCCACTGCTGAACATAGGCCTCCCCCAAAGATTTCCAGACCAGCCGATCGGACGCAACGTGCATCCATGGGTTACTCGTCGCCCTTACCAGGTCATCTGTCCATCTAGTAGGGGGCCGTCCCACTGAACGCCTTCCGGTTCGTGGTCTCCATTCAAGAACCTTTCTGCCCCAACTGCCGTCAGTTCTACGAGCTACACTGCCACTTCTGCTAACCCTTCGATTTTTTCACAATGATCACATTGATTAAATTTATCGATTACATAGAAAATATTTCAAAACATTCCAACATTTGAGATAAGCATGCCTATGAAGTTCCTTAATTACTGAAAGGCAAACACCTTACACTATGGAAACCAAAGGACATGATATATTGACATATATAAATCAGACGTTATATGCATGTGATGCCTTTCTTAGAGGATGGAAAAAAAATAAAAGAAAGGAGCTGCCCTAACTACGGAACGAACGTGCATACGTAAACAAAAATTTAACGAACAAATGGCGGATTCTTTAGTGTCGTACCATAATCTATCGATAAGTCATTATCGACATGCAAACATTTAAGGTAGATCAATATTCCATTTGGGAATATTTTAGGTTATATGGGAATATCCGGGAATATCACATGAAATGTTGAATTTATTGTTTTGCGTTTACAAACACTCAAATATAACGAAAAGTGATGTTGTACAGAAAAAATGTAATTTGAGAGTATATAAAAAAAGAGCAAACTTTGAAATATGAATCTGGAGATCTCTTATACATTCCCAACATCAAAATTCATATTTTCATAGAGAAATTTTTAAACAGTTTTCAAATAGTGTAAGCTTTTTGTATTTATGCATTGGTATAGAATTAACATCAGTGACTGATTCAAGTGAATCTGTAATACTTCCATTTAATTTTGGAAATAAATTAAAGTAGTAATATTATCAATAATAATATTATTATGATACGTTTATTTGCTTAAAACATGGTATAACAGAAGATGTAACAAGAAACACTGTTAGTAAACATTTTTCACATATATTAAATAGCATGCAAATATCTGATTATATGATGTCAATTGCCTACTATTGGCCGAGCGCCTTTGATTTGTGCAGAAAAATCGACACCTCTCCAAAGTGAGACAAGTAGCCACGAGCAACTACGAGTTGTGACAAGCCACGTCAAACGGCTAGGCGAGCGTCACTGAACGGTGGCAAAGCAAGGCAAGGCAAATAGGCTGTATATACGTTGGTATTGGCCTTCACCCGGCAACGTTGGACCAACATGGTCATTGTATTGCTGGCTTTATAAAATAAGAATAAAGTTGTCAGTGGGAAAAAATCGTAAACGAGTGGATAATTTTCTTTTCAAGATCTGAGAACGCCTAGTAAATGAGTCTTGTTTAATCTAAATTAAATATAAAATTGTTTACCAATAAACCTAATGATGGAATTGCATTATCATGCAATCTAGTTACATTGAAAGTTATGTTATAATTTGACTCTTCAAAATGAAGCGAATAAATGAAGATGGTCTTTGATTCAATGTTTATATTCGGCACTCCTGTGATTTCTAACCATTCTTTTTTCTTTTTTGATTTTTAGGTAAACTTGAAATAGTCAAAGTAATACTCATAATAAAATAAAAATATCGTAGTGAATTATTTTAATAACAGAATATCGATAACATGTATGCTTCCAAGCACAACACTATCTCAAAATAATCGTTAATAAAAATCATCAAAATATACAAATAAACAAGCAATTTGAAGAAACCAAAGCAAAATTTGGCAAGATTTATGGGTAAACTACTTAAATATGTCTAATTAAATGAGATATTTGGGCTTTTGTGTGATTTATAGTCAGAAAATAACGCGTGCATGTACTATGTTACATTCGGTCGATTTTCGCTTTTTCTAATGCCACATCCCGTAATGTTGCAGCGACGAATTTTTATTAATACTAATTGTTCTCATACATACATACATATACACAATTCACATAAATTACAAAAGTTATCAAAATAATCAAATAGCTAACTGTCCTTATCCTATACATTTCATGCGCAAAAGACAAAAAGGGATACGTTACGTCAATTTCAATTTCCGAACCACGAGCGTTTAAAACCTTTAAAACAAAGAAACTTTAGACTTGATTTAATGTTAATTTAATTTTTTCAGTGACTCTGTTAAATGTTACTAATAACCAATAGTCAGAAAAAGATGTTCCACATATATGTATAGATATAGCTACAAGGAGCGACATGTGCCATCCCTTTACCCCTTCGTTCACCAGTGCTATTCGGCCCCCAGTAATCTTTTTATTGGTGAAAAATCAATTTTATAGCAGGTGGGCGCGCAGCAGGTGGATCCTCTGGGACTTTTGTTCTGCTTGGCTATCCAGAAGATTATGTCTGGATAGCCAATTGAATGTCTGGTACCTGGATGATGACACTGTTGGCGGAAATCCAGAAGTTGTTTTTGGAAGATTTAAAAAGACTTGGAGCAGCTTTGAAGGCAAGTTGGTCTGGAAATTAATCCAAACAAATGCGAGTTGTTCGCTTGTGGGGGTGTAAAATCGGACTTACTGGAGAATTTGAAGGCTCTTTTGCCGGGCATCAGGCACTTGGACAAGTCGTCTGTTAGGTTATTGGGTGCGCTAATATTTCCTGAGGGTGCCAGTTCTGCTCTTCAAACTAAAATACTGGCTGGCACTTAACAGCACGGGAACATCTGATGCATCTATCGGCGCATGTTGCTCTCGTTTTGTTGCGTAATTTTCTACATGACATACATTTTAAGGAGATATCTTACGTGGCTTTTTGAGCAGGATGTGGCCCTTGTGGACGACGCACTCAGTGTTACGTTGGAGGTCGTGCTAAATATCATTTTCAGTCATCCACAGTGGTGTCAACCTGTACTTTTGGTTAGGCATGGCGGTGTTGGAGTGCGTCGAGTGCAGGATGTAGGCTTTGTGGCATTCTTGGCTTCCTCTTATGGCTCTGCGGATCTCGTTGCTCGCAATTTAGCTCATGATGGCAGTGGATTTCCAGTCAGAGGCTCTTGCAAGGTGGTTAAGTCTTTGCCCGAGCGACGAACGCCCAGACAATACTTGTGTGTAGGGAAATTAGGACGATATTCTCTGCAAACAAATATACAGCTCTTTGTTGGAGGGCGCTTCGGGTATTGTTATGGTTCGTTTTAAAGCCGTCGCTAGATCGGAGTCGGGAGCGTGGTTACATGCATTGCCGTCTCCAAAGTTGGGTACTCTGCTCGATGATCATTCTTTGAGGAAAGCGGTAGCATTGCGTTTGGATAGCAAGGCGTGTGAGCCGCACCGCTGTGTGTGTGGTACAATGGTGATGGAGGAAGGACATCATGGTAAAAGTTGTCGAAGATATGCGGGTCGTTTTTAGACACCACACCATAAATGATATTGTGCGACGGGCGATGGTGTAGGCTAATATCCCTTGCGTGCTCGAGCCCCCGGGGTTGAACCGAATCGATGGTAAAAGGCCGAACGGTTTGACGTTAGTTCCTTGGCGGAAAGGTCGTTGTCTTCTGTGGGACGCAATATGTTTAAGTCCATTTGCTGCGTCTCACTTAAGACAAACTTCGGGGTTGGCAGGTTCCTCGGCTGAAAATATCGCGAAACTAAAATATGCTAAATATTATGCCTTGGAGCCGATGTACGACTTCGTACCGGTCGCGGTGGAGACGGCGGGGCCCTGGGGTGCGGAAACTCGGGCTTGTTTAACGAGTTGGATCGTCGACTTAGAGACAGGCGCTGCAATCACCGCTCTGGGTCGTGATTGGTTCAGCAAGTGTCCATTGCCGTTCAGCTAGGCAATGCTCCCAGTATAATGGAAACTTTTGAGCCGGGCGCGATACAGGGTGAGTTTTTTTAGGTTAGATTAGTTTTTTAGGTTAAAAATCTCTTGCAAATCCCAGTTTTTTAAATTATTTTAGTACCTATTAACAAATCCTAGTGTTCGATACAGGGTGGGATTTTTTTTAGGTTAGATTAGTTTTTTAGGTTAAAAATCTCTTGCAAATCCCAGTTTTTTAAATTATTTTAGTACCTATTAACAAATCCTAGTGTTGATCTATAACTAAAAATATTAATGTAACATTTGTATTGGAGTAAATGATTATTAAATAAATAAAAAAAGGAGTGGAGATATAGTTGTTAAAGCCACCAAATATTAATTAATTACTTTCTCGAAT